GCATCGATCTCATCAATGAAAACGATGCACGGCGCTTTCTCCTTCGCCTGCTTGAAGATGTCCCGCACGCGAGAAGCACCCACACCGACGAAGAGCTCGATGAACTCAGAGGCGGATGACTGGATAAATGGCACACCAGACTCGCCAGCGAGAGCCTTGGCCATCAGCGTCTTGCCAGTGCCAGGAGGTCCTGTCAACAGCACGCCACGGGGAATCTTGGCGCCAACCTTCACGAACCTCTCTGGTGCTTTAAGGAAATCCACAATCTCCATCAGCTCTTCCTTAGCCTCGTCAATCCCGGCCACGTCTTCAAATTTCACGCCCGTCTCTGGAGTGATCATGATCTTCGCCTGGCCCCGGTTGCCAAAGCCTGGGATGCCGCCGCCACCAGGAGCGCGGGAGCGCAGGAAGAGCAGGCCGGCGATCAGCAGAAGTGGGAAGGCAACGTCACCGAGCACGTTAAACAAAGGGTTGGGCTTCTCGGGCTGGTGGACCTCGATGGAAATGCCCTTTGCCGTGAGCTTCTCGATGAGGCCTGTGGTGGCTCCGGGAAGATCGCACACAAGCTGCTGCTCGCGGCCACCCACAGAAACGGTGGCAACCGCCGTGCGCCCAAGGTCGTAGAAGTCCACACGCTTCACAGAGCCCTCATCCACGAACTCGAGGAGACGGGAGTAGGTCACGCGCCCTGTGACACGGGCGAAACCACCCCCACCAGGCTGCTGCATTTGCATTTGCGGTGCTCCCACAGACTGCAGCGCGGGGACGTCGTCTGCCTTGGCTGCGAGCGGTGCTGCGGTGGCGGCTAGGGCGGCGAGGACCTGCACCGCGGCGTGCTTCACCACATGGTCAGGCAGCGAAGCTGTGGAGGCCTCCGAGGCCATGTCCTTCACTCGGCGCATCACTTCCTCGCTGGTCGATTCTCGGCCCTCTCGGCTCTCCGCCTCTGTTGCCAGCCCGAGCCGGGCAACAGCGCTGCGGGCAGCCTTGCCATCCCGCGGCGCCGCACGCGTGGAGCCACAGAAGCCACGACGAGGGCAGTCGGCGCACGCGAACCTGGGATTCCGAAGACTATGGGTTCCAGACGCGCTTGTAACTACTACTAGCTACTCACTCGTTCTGCTCGTGGCTACGGTGCTATTGCTGGCAGTCGCTGAGACTCTGCTCGAGCTACCGTAGACCGAACAGGCAGTGACAAGCGGGAAAAGACCTTCCACCGAGAAGCATCATCGGCTTGTCCGGGTGGACGCACTGTGTTTTACGAGGCATTGAAACCTCAGCCGTTGTCTCGATTACCTCGCCCGTGTAGGC